GTGGCACGATCATAGCTCACTGCAGCCTTGAACTCCTTGGGCTTAAGTGATCTTCCTGCCTCAGCTTCCCAAGAAGCTGGGATGTAGGCCTGGGTCACCATGCCAGGCTAATTTTAATTTTAGATGCTTTTATACGTATGCATGGAGACTTACAAATTGAGGGCTTCACTGTAGGCTTTTGTGTCAGAGAGCAGGCGATTTCACTGGGGAATCTCCAGCTGTCCGTATCTCTGAAGGCCTTTCCATTTAGGTTAATCAGTTTTCCCTAGAGGAGAGGGATCCTTCAAACTCCTGGAGTGGGGCGGGGTAGAGGTGGTGGTTATAAGCTTGGCTGCAAGCACAGGGAAGGGATTGTGGGTCTCACTGTTTAGTATGTAGACTCTCAGTTCAGGACTCTCCCCAAAGCTTTGCCTGGTATTCTAGATTCCAGTGCCCCTCTGGTTCAGCCCTCCAGAGATAAACCTGAGTCTCTGCTGGGTGAATACCGGGATCCAGGGGGCCTACCTGCCCTGACACACAGGCCTGCAGACAATCCTGTGCTTTCCTCTCTGCTCAGGACTCCCCTCGCCCTTGATGCCTCTCATTCCCATGGCTTGCTGGGGTCTGTGTCTCCCTCTCCCTCCACACGACACTGAGTTCTCTGTTTTCTCTGTCTGGCGATTCATTTGTCACTCACCTACCTGCATTCTATCACCTCAAATTTGTTGACAGCTCCTGTCTATCATCCTCTCTCCTATTCTCTGTCTCTGTGGGCTTACACCTTTTAAAATGCATTTGCTGTTATTTTAGTGGGTTTTCAGGGAGGGAAGGAGGTAGATGGATATATTCATTCTACCATGTGCAAATAGTTATTTTCTATTAAAATTTTTAAAAATTGTGAACAAATGTGTTCAAAAAATTTTCAAACATTACAGAACTGTGCAGTTTAGGAAACTCTAGTCTCCTATAATCCCTCCCTGAGAGAACCACTGGTAATAGTTTGGCATTCTGGAGCTCTTTTCAGGATTTTAACATGTATAATATAATCCTTTCTGTATGCATACACACACACTTATACATATGTTAATATGGATATATAAAAATGTATACATATGCATATATGTGTATATAATGTAAATTCCAACATATGGGTGCTGGAAATACATAAAATACTAATATTTAAGAAATGATAGCATATTATACATACCATGCAATAACTTTATTTTTTCACCTAACAACTTTTATGGGGCATCTGTCCATTTGGGCACCCTAAGTTCTACTTCATTTGTAGAAAATAAGTACGTGGCATTGATTGAATTGCTTTAACCTCTACTCTCTTGACAGGCATTTGTAGTGTTTACTCTTTGTTTAATCATTATAAACAATACTGGTGTGAATTCTATTTTTTATATATGTTTATATATCTGTAAGCCAGTTCTTAAAAACTGTGAGTGGGTTAAGAAGAGGAACATGTTAGTAACCTGCAGAAAAGAAATTCGAAGTGATTGACAGGGTTAGAGTTCTTGAGTTATCGATGACCTTGACAGTGCTTTGTTAGCATCAACACCCTTTGTCACTGCTCTTCTGTGGTCTTTCCTGTTACCTTTTTCTTCTCTTTATTTCCTCTTACCTGTCTCCGGCTATCATTACAATTCCCCTGGCCAGATTTCAGTTAAACAAATATGCTGTGTTCCTGTTAAGGACTAGGAATACTGTAAGGCATTTGCTTATTTTAGAACTTTAATTTCCTATGTATGTCAATGAGATGGAATTACTACTTTTTAGTAATAAAAAATATTTTTAGTCTGGTGAATGAAAAAAA